GTTGAGTTTTGGCAAGTTATCATCACTAGACAGCTGGCTTCTGACCATGAAGGGATTTTATTTTGCTTTGGAAGTTAGTTTTTTTTTTTTTTTTTTTCAAATACAGATTTATAAAGAGAGCTACAAGGTCAAAGTTGTGCAGCTCATCTCTAGTATATATGGCCTCAGATATGAAAAACACATTTTTGAGTGGGCCCAATCAAGATGATGAAGGAATTTTTGGTTGTGCTTGTTTATTTAACCTTGCTTGGTTTAAAAAAGTACATGAAGCATTTATAGAGCCACATATTATACAACACCGTGCTTGGCATCTAATGAGACTCACAGCTGCTCCATGTTGGCCATTGTTGCTGATAGTAGCAGCAGTAGTCAAGTAGTATCATTAACAAGATAAAAATAAATAAATAAATAGCGAATGCTGGGGTTGAGGCTCAGTGGTAGAGCGCTCACCTAGCATGTGGGAGGCGCTGAGTTAGATCCTCAGCACCACATAAAAATAAATAAATAAAATCAAGGTATTGTGTCCAACTACAACTGAAAAAAAAATTTAAAAAATAGCAAAGGAAATTTGGGGAAATGATGGCCTGAAGCTAGTTAGGGTTGACATACAAAACATCTTTATAAAGTTCTGTTTATGCAATTGCTAAAAGTGGGTTATGGATTTGTCAAGCTTTCTAGAGGCCCAGGTAAATATTAGTTATATAATTCATGGGAAGCTTCAGGTAAAGTTCTCCTGTAGGTCCTCATCAAGATGCTCTTTTGTGGACTGGGGAGGTAACTCAGTGATAGAGTGCTTGTGTAGCATGTATGAGGCCCTGGGCTCAGTCTCCAGAACTGGGGGTTGGGGGGAGGTATTCTGGGGTGCAGAGGGCCACATCTACATCTTCTAACCCCATCACCTACATATATATATATATATATATATATATATATATATATATATATGGTTGTCAATGGACCTTTAATTAATTAAGTAATATATGGTGCTGAGAATCGGATCCAGTGCCTCACACATGCTGGGTGAGTGCTCTGTCACTGAGTCCCAGCCCCAGCCCTCTCATCCCAATCCTAATGCCAATAGCAGATTTATAGAATGTTAATTTAAAAAAAAAATGTGTATATTCATTTAATATTTTTTTAGTTGTAGTTGGACACAATACTTTATTTGTTTGTTTTTATGTGGTGCTGAGGATCAAACCAGGGCCTCACACCTGCTAAGCAAACACTGTTCCACTGAGAAACAACCCCAGCCTCAGAATGTCAAATTTTAAGCAGGGTTGAACTCCAAGAAAAAACTAGCTACAACATGTTTCTTTTGGCTCTCTGGGGTTACTAGCTAGTTACAGAGTACCTCTTCCTTGTCCTTCTCCAGCAGACATTCACAAAAAAATGAGACATGGTGGCCCTAGAAGTATCCAATTAGTAAAAAGATGTTTTGTTTGTGCCATGCTCCCTGCATTGGTATCAGAGACTGAAACTAGAGGCACTTCACCACTGAGCTACATCCCTGCACTTTTATTTATTTGTTTTTTAGTTTTATTTGTTTTTTAGTTTTATTTATATTTATTGGGGTGCTGAGGATTAAACCCAGTGCTTTATGCATGCTAGGCGAGCACTCTACCACTGAGCCACAACTCCAGCCCCTTCCCTGCATTATTTATTTATTTATTTATTTTTCTGATTTTATTCATTTGGAACCTGGGATTAAAACCAGGGGTGTGTAACCACTGAGCTTACATCCCCCAGCCCTCTTTAAAATGTTTCAGTTTTGAGACTGGGGTCCCACTAAGTTGCTGAGGCTGGCTTTGAATTTGTCCTCTCAGCTGGAATTATAGGTGTGTGCTTCCACTGGCTTTGAACATGGGTTTTGTTACACACTAAAAATAAAAGGTCATTGGGGGACTTGGTGGTAATATTTGGAGGTTTTGGTGGTGGTGGGTTTTTTTTTTTTTTTTTTTTTTGTGGTGGTTTTTTTAATATGTTTTTAGATCTGCCCTCTGAGTTTGGAGCAAGCCTGCCTTTTATAGGGCAATCAAGTTGTTCTGGCCTCAAGCTACTCTAGCTCCAGGTCATCTGCTGGGCCTCCTTCCCTTTTTCTCAGGGGTCTACGACCTATAACCTCAGAGAGCTTGAATTTGACTCTCTTCCTTCCATTTTCATTAACACCCATTGTGTCCCAAGCGTTTTGCATGCTAGAAATTGAACCCAGTAGTGCTTTACCACTGAGCTTAGGACTTTGCTAAGTTGCTGAGGCTAACCTGGAACTTTGGATCCTCTTTGCCTCAGCCTCCTGAGTCACTGGGATCATAGGAATGTACCACCACACCTGTGGCTGCTACTCCTATTTCATGCTGAAGAAATTTAAGTTCAGAGTTATAGCCTTACCCAAGGATGCTGGCTACTGTGAACTATGGTTTAACGCAGTGCAAGGACCACAAGGATTTGTATTTTCAAAATATAAAAAGAGATGAAAAAGAAAAACTCAAGGAAGCTGAGCATGGTGGCACACACCTGTCGTCCCAGCTACTCAGCAGGCTGAGATAGGAGGATCATTTGAGCTCAGGAATTCAAGACCAGCCTATCCAACATAGTAAAGACCCATTAAAAAAAAAAAAGCATGAAAAAACATTTTTTATTTTTATTTTTTTAATATTTATTTTTAGTTATAGGTGAACACAATGTCTTTATTTTACTTTATGTGGTGCTGAGGATGGAACCCAGTGCCTCACACATGATAGGCGAGTGCTCTACCTCTGAGCCACAACCCCAGCCCCCAAAAAACATTTTTTAAAAAACTTATTAAAAGTACATATAATCAATCTATAGCCATATATAACTAAAAATAACCAATAAAATTTTAAAAATCAAACAACAAATACACACACACACACACACACACACTGTATGGATATGATTTTTCTTGCAGTCAAGAAAGTGTACATAGTTGGAACCTAGAGATGTATTATGCTCTTTGCGGGGTCCTTGTACTTTCTGTGGGATGCTCACTCCCTGACATTGCCCACAGGAAATAACCTGATGCAAGGTAAGTGCCACCAACAGGGAAGCTTTACAAAACCACTCTCTTGCGGTTGTTTGGGGAAAGCCCCACGCTGTCTCAAGGGTTAGGGTGCTGAGAAGATGAGATGGGCAACATCTGCCTGCTCAAAGCTTGAACCAGGCAGAGGTTCATGGCCAAAGGCAAGGAAGTGAGAAATTCCTCTCCCCATACCTGCTCCCTTCTATGACTGCCTGCTAATTCCTAGGGTCCAAGATCTGCAGGGAATGAAAGAAAGAAAGGAGAGGCTGATCGGAGACTCTAATGGAGGCCCTGTAGAGGCTCTAACATGGAGCCACGTGGAAATTGCCCAGAGGGAAATGGCCAGTTGGTGATGTCAGTTCTTCCAAAGCCTCCACTAGTTGGGTGAAATATCAGGCTTGCACATCAAAATGTGCTTTTACTGTATCCTTAAAAAGCTTACTCAATGCCGCCCCCCCCCCCCCTTCTCTCTTTGTCTATCTCTTGCTTGGCCTCAGGGTCAAGAGATTTTTTTTTAACACATTTGTTTAATTTTTTAATTTTAATTTTTTAGTTGTAGATGGACACAATACATTTATTTTGTTTATTTATTTTTATGTGGTGCTGAGGATCAAACCCAGTGTCTTACGTGTGTGAGGCAAGTGCTCTACTTGTGAGGCAAGTGCTGCATCCCCAGCCCAGATCATAAGATCTTCAAGCAAGATTGGGGTCCTCTCTGGGCAGCAGCACCATTCCTGATGGATTTTTATCCTGTTGTAGGAATCAGGTGACTTTGTACAGCCTCCTCAGCTCTGACTAACTAGACATCCATGGGATGGATGCTTTAGTCTGGAATTTCCTGAAAAAAAGTTTCCCAAATCACAGATGCAATGTGGGGAAGAAAGATCATGCATCTTGGAATTAGGGGGCCAGGAGTTCAAATCAGACTCTGACATGCACTCCATTATTAACCACAATTTCGTAATCCATGAAATGGGACTAATAAAGCTCCCTTCACAGAAGGCCCTGCGGTAAGAGATAATAGAGATAAAACACCTAAGGAATCTAGCCCATAGAAAGCGCTCACCCACAGGTAGGTACTAGGGATTGAACCCAGGTGTGTTCTATCACTGAGCTGCATTCCCAGAGCTATTTATTAATTATTGTTATTAATTATCATGCCTGATATAGATCTATATCACATATATATGGTACCAGGCATTGAGCCCAGGGGCACTTAACCACTGAGTCACATCCCTGCCCTTTTTATTTCTTATTTTGAGACAAGGTCTCTCTAAGTTGCTTAGGGCCATGCCAAATTGGTGACTGGCTTTGAACTTGTGATTCTCCTGCCTCAGCCTCCCCAGCCGCTGGGATTACAGGTGTGTGCCACCGAGCCCCGCCATGACCTTTTATTTTTACTGTGAAACAGGGTCTGGCTAAATTGCCTAGGCTGGCCTCAAACTTGCAATCCTGTCTCAGCCTCCCAGATCTATGGGATTACAGGCATGCATCACTATGTCTGGTTCACGATCCTTATTTTCGGGTCACAAAACTGATCCTCCATCAAGGGTCCTTTTGAAGCAGTAAAAATGAGGAAAATAATATCTAGCATTTACTGAGCACTTACTATATGACACTCAGATTCTAAGTGCTTTACACAATTTACAGGTGTTCATTACAGTAACCCTTTGAAGTAAGTATGATTATTTTACATATAAGAAAGCAGAGGCTCAGAGAGGTTTAGTAACTTAAAGGAGGAGACCCGCAAGGAGGCCCACTCGGGGTATCAATCAGGCAGTCAGGCCCTGCCCTGCAGATGCAGGCCCTAGAATCATCCAAATGGTCCCGAATCGACACAATAGACTGCTCCGCCCTTCTCGGGAAGAACATGAACGAATAACTCCAGAGAACCACTCAGCCTGCTGGAGCAGAAGGGGTTATTCCCACTGAGACGCCAGCCCCGCGCTCCTAGAGAGGCCCCATGTGGGCGGGAGCCGCGCGCGCTTCCTGCGAGTGGCTGGGACTCCGGGATTGCGACCCGCTGGCTCTGGGCTCGGCGCTGGACGCTCGGGCCAGGTTGCGCGCCGGGTTGCGGCCTGGGGCCCCCATCCTAGAGGGCGAAGGGAGGAGGAGCCCCCACCTGAGCCCCGGAAAGGGAGGACGAGGGGCCAGGAGCCGAGGGGGTGCGGGCAGCGGGGCGGGTCTCTCCGGGGACCTTCGGCCGCCCGGTGGCTGCGGGTCCTCTGGTACCCGAGGCTGCCTGCGGCGGGCCCAGGCGGCCGCCCGCAGCGGCAGGGACTTCTGGAAGGACCCAGCCCGCTGCGCAGGGCCCTTCAGGTGACACTGATCCTTCTAGAGTCCCCGGGTAAGGAGCCATCGTTCCTCCACCTCCCCAGGGCGGGCCTGGCCACCTCCTTGTAACCCTCATAACCGCCCTGCGGGTCGTGGCGGGGTGTCCCTAGGGGCTGTTTGACAACTAGACTTGACAAGGTCGCTCAGCCGCAGGGCAGCCACCAGGCAGATCTGGTTTTCAGGACCCTCCACGAGGTGGCCGCGACCCGATCCAGATTCTCTAAACTCAGTCACCCTGAAACCAAACTGGCTGTCCTTCCCCTTCGCAGGCAGAGGGCTCATCCTCAGTCCAATTGGAACCTCGGTTACCTTTACTTACCTGCCACTCTTAGCCACTTCCCTGGTCCCCACCTTATCATACTCTTTGGTGGCTTAACTACAGCCATCCTCCTTTCCCCACCCCCACTTTCTGGATACTGTTCTTATTCTCAATCCATAGAGACTTGCTGCTCTCCGTTCTCTCCTTGAGAGATAAAAAGTTGCTCTTCTTTGTTCTCAAGAAACAGTAACTTGCCTTCTGCAAAATCAGGTGATACTTGCTATGCCAGTGACAAGGGCCAAATCCGCCGCTAACGCGCGGCCATGATCCCGGCCTATTAAAGGTGATTCTCAAGGGGGAGTTGCTGCTGCGTCCCTCTCCTGCCACTGTTTCCGCGCAGAGCAGCCGGTCAGGTCCCTGACAATAAATCTGCTTATGCCTCTATCCTTGGAGTGTGCCCCTGTCCTGCTTCACATTTCTTTCAGTCTTCATCTTTTGCAACTAACCTGGTTTTCCAGTCCTACTGCCACCATCTTTGCACCCCTCTGTCACAAACTTCTGTCACTAATGTAATCTGCCATCTTAACTGCTTCTTTCTTTTTGCACAGGCCACTTTGTAGAGTCCTCCAACCCTTGCATCGGATGGTTCCCTTGTGTGTTTCCACACACACACACACACACACACACACACACCCTGTTAATGATTTGCTAAGTCCAAATCAAAACTCCTGAACTTGGCATTCAAGATAATTTGAAATCTGGCTCCAGCTTACCTTTCTAACCTGACCTCTCTTGGTTCCTTAAGTAGAGGTCATAAACTGGCAGATTCAACTGAAAAATGGGTTTCCACCGGCCAGCAGAATTTCTTTTTAAATTTAACTCGATATTTGTTTTTAAATTAGGTGATATTGTTCTTTAAAAAATCCAAATTTGAGGGCTGTAATTGTGGCTCAGTGGTAGAGCATTCACCTAGCATGCGTGAGGCACTGGGTTTGATCTAAAGCACCACATAAAAATAAATAAATAAAATAAAGGTATTGTGTCCATCTACAACTAAAAAGTATTTAAAAAAAAAAAATCCAAATTTCCACCAGGCATGATGGCGGAGCCCAGCAAATCAGGAGGCTGAGGCAGAATAAGTTCAAGGCCACCCATAGCAATTTACCAAGACCCTTAGCAACTTAATGAGAATTATGTCAAAATAAAAAATAAAAAGGGACTGGGGATGTGGCTCAGTGACCCTGGATTGTTCAATACCCAGTACAAAAAAAAAAAAAAAAAAAAGGCGGGATTGTGGGTAGTTCTTGGGTGTGATACTGGCCAAATTGTATTGTTGCATTGTATGCATACATTAATATGTAACAACAAATCCCATCATTATGTACAACTATAATGCACCAGGCTGGGAATATAGCTCAGTTAGTAGAGTGCTTGCCTTGCATGCACAAGGCCCTGGGTTCAATCCCCGGCACCAAACACACAAACTATAATGCACCAACAAAAAACATGGGGGGGAAAGTCCAAATATATTGCTTATTTTGAAACAATAATGCTAGCACACTTGGTCCATGTTCTTGCATTCAGTAACTGGCTTAAATTGGGAAGTGGCTGCCCCCTTTAGATAGGGCCATGACTCCCAATTTGTCATAGTCCTCACCACTCCCAAGACCTCCTGTCTCTGAGCCTGAGAGTCAGCTGTTGTGCTTGCACTGATGGTTTTCATATAATAGTGAACATTTCTGGGACTCATGTCTCTACCAAAGTATACATGTGGAAGTTAGACCAAGAGGAATGATGTGTAAAAGACAACTGAGAATGTACCCAGTCTCTTTAACTCATTTATTTTTCTTTCCTGGACCCCATAGCCATTTGAGTCTGCCACTCCAGCCTTTTATGAATCAACACAGCTAGATTAGATGCTTCACAGATTTTTATGGCTCTGCTCTACCTTCTCCAGTGAGTAAACTCTATTTAGCAAGGTCCAGAGCTACTTTTACTCTGCAAAGGCTTCCCAGACAACAAACCATCCATCCATCATCCAGCCACCCACCCCAGCAACACTTTTGGAGTCCAGGGACTAGGTTGGGTGGGTATGACCATATCACTATTACCTCTCCCTCCTCTGGATTTCTGTATCTGTCCTTAAATCACAGTCTTACTGTTAAATATAACATCATAATGTTATACAGTGACTTGCACTTAGTAGGTAGACAATAAATATCACCTGGTTAAATGGCATGGTCATGCACATGTCTTCTAGTTTCTAAGGCCTTTGTATCTGTCTTTGCACTGTCCTAGTGACTAGCACAATGCCTGACACATAGTGAACATTAGGTGATGTGGGAGGAAATGTGCTATAGCCAGGCGCCCCAGACAAGTTTCTGGTGCCAAAGTTGGAAACAGCCCACCCAAACCTTAATATACAGAGGAATGAAGAAGAAACCCCAGAAAACAGAGGAGAGGCCTTACTCAGTCCTGAAAGCAGGAAACATGTCACAGACCACTTGACCTAGAGGTTCTGCTCAGGATTCAGCCGAAGCTACCTCTAGAGCTCAGCTGTATCCACGTGACCTTGTGAGCAAAACATCCAGCTGGATTCTGATTCTGAATTCCAAACTTTAGAGTGACAACAATGGTTGTCAGTACTGAGGCACTCTTTCAGCCAAACACTTGCCAAGAGCTTCATACCATGACCTACATTTAGCCTCCATGACATAATACTATCTCTAGTCTACAGATGACAAGCCTGGGGTTTCTGTGCCCAGGAAGCCTGCCTAAGCAGAGCCAGGATTTCAAATGCACATGGACCAATTCCAGAGCCCCCATGCTCCTTTAAAACATTGAGGGCTGGGCTGGGGTTGGGACCCCAACTCTTTTTCCTCAATTTTCTCTACCATACTTCTTTAACTCCCTGCCCAAGAGATCAAAATATATATCATCAGGAGCAAGAGAAGTCTGAAGAGAAAACTTCAGATTTGTATTTCTTTATTTTATGAAACTGACAGATAACGTAGCTCCAAAGTCTTGAGTAATAAGCTTATACTAACAGAGGGAAGCCACTTTCCAAAGAAAGGGCAGAGAGGGTTGAGGTTGTGGATCAGCAGTAGAGTGCTCACCAAGCATGTGTGAGGCACTGTTTTCGATCCTCAGCACCACATAAAAATAAATAAAATAAAGGTATTGTGTCCAACTACAATATATATATATATATATATATATATATATATATATATATATATATATTTTTTTTTTTTTTTTTTTAAAGGGTAGAAGGGGAGAGAGAGAGAAATCATGTACTTATTGAATACCTAATATATACCAGGGAAGGTATTAACCTATTTTACAGAAGAGGAATGTGAAGGCTTCAAATGTCATATAATTTTGCAAGCATTAAGCTGATGCTGAGGGGGAAAGTGTGGATCAGATACCAGGCTTGGTGGTCACAAAGCGTCTAACACTCACCACCCTAGTCCCTCACTGCCTAAATGTCATTCTACACTTTCTCTTCTTGTACTTCAGTGTTCTTGTAGATAGGTCTGTGGAAGGGAAAACTAATGCCTCCTAACCAAAAATAGGTAAGTTTTATAAAATATCCTTGTAAAACTTTTCTTCTTTATCACAAAAGTGCCCAGTACATTAGTTCATTCATTTATTCATTCAATAAACACATTAAGTACTTACGTTGGGCTCTCCTAGGCCCTGTAGATATGATTATTGAACAAACCATATAAAAAGTAATTTTTAAAAAATCCTGCCCTTCATGATTTTTTGCTTGTTTTTTTGAGCTGTTGGGAACTGAACCTAGGGCCTTGTACATGCAAGGTTAAGTTCTCTACCAATTGAGCTATTTCCCCTGGCTGAAATTCTGCTCTTCAGGGCTTAAATTCTACTAAGGAGGACACATAAAAACCAAACCAAACCAGACAAACAAACATAAAGAGAAAATAAAGTGAGGAAAGGAAGATAGGAAGTGTGGGGATCAGGGAAAATGTCAAAATTTTGTATGGGTTGTCCAGGGGGACTTTTCTGAGAAGGTAGACTTTTAGTAAAGACATAAAGGAAGTAGATGTTTAATAACTGGCTGCCGGAATAAACAAAACAATTTTTTTTTTTTTGTATCAGGGATTGAACCCAGGGCCATTTAATCACTGAGCTACATCCCAGCACCTTTTAATTTTTATTTTGAGACAAGGTCTCACTAAGTTGCTTAGAGCCCCTGCTAAGGTGCTGAGGCTGGCTTTGAACTTTTGATCCTCCTGCCTCAGCCTCCTGAGCTGCTAGAATTACAGGCATGTGCCTGGCAGGAATAAATTTTTAAAATGATGCTCCCTCCAGGAAGGAAACTGCAAAGCTACTCAAATATGATATGTCATCCTTGAAACAGTACAAGAAGCAAGAAAAATCACAAAAGATGAAAGTCCTTTTCCTTTTCACCATTCCCTTTTGTTCTTTCTAATTTTGCCCAAGGAAGTTTCTCACTTCTCGCGGAATGTGCACCAAACTCATTTCTGTTCTGCCCTTTCTGTTCTTCCCTCCACAATCCCAATTCCATCATGGCTAACTAAGAAATGAGGTGGCTATTGAGGTGGGACAGCCTGAGGTGCCTCCTTCAATTACATGAGCCAGAGCATGAAATGGTGCCTGAGCTTGAGATGGGCAGACTCGGAGATCCAGGAAATCATCTGCAGGGCCAGAAGGTCCAGCAGAGCACCCCAGAGCTCTCAAGAATGAAAGGGAAGAAACAAAAATATGTGGTTCTTTTTATTTTTGCTTCCTGGGATGTTGCTTTTGATTTAACAGCTTTATTGAGATATAATCATATTCCATACACTTCATCTACCTAAAGTTACAACCTACTGATTTTTAGAATATTTACAGGTGTGGAGAGTCGCCATGGCCAGCTATCCATATGGGCAGGTGGTGTCCCACCCAATGTGGATCCTGAGGCCTACTCCTGGTTCCATGCTGAGAGCCATTGCCAAGTAGGTATGATGCATGGCATGACCCAGGTCATTTGCAGTGACATTGCATGTAAAGTGACCTTGCTCAAGGACCAGGGCGGATCCAGGTTTAGGGTGTATCCTGCTGGGAATAGGGCGGTATCCTGCTGCCTCAGGCGCACCACTCCTTGAGTTCCCGTTGAGTTCTCCCGGGATTCGGAGAGTATTTGGGATTCAGAGCCCGGTGGAGTGGGTGGGTTTTGCCCAGAATGTGGATTTTGCCCAGAACGTGGATTTGCCCAGAACGTGTGTGTAAAGTGCCGGTGACAGTTCGAGAATAAAGAGTTGCTGTTTGAACCTACAAGGTGTGTGGTGGCTCGTGATTTTGTGCCCAGCCAGACTGCGGCAGTTCCAGTCAGTGGACTCAGGTCACAGTGGCTCCAAGAAGGAGCTAAAGCAGGCCCTGGTCAACTCCAACTGGTCTTCATTCAATGTCGAGACATGCCTCATAATGATAAACATGTTTGACAAGACCAAGTCAGGCCGCATTGATGTCTATGGTTTCTCAGCGCTGTGGAAATTCATCCAGCAGTGGAAGAACCTCTTCCAGCAGTATGACCGGGACCACTCAGGTTCCATCAGCTACACAGAGTTGCAGCAAGCTCTGTCCCAAATGGGCTACAACCTGAGCCCCCAGTTCACCCAGCTCCTGGTCTCCCGCTACTGCCCACGCTCTGCCAGTCCCACCATGCAGCTCGACCGCTTCATTCAGGTGTGCACCCAGCTGCAGGTGCTGACCAAGACCTTCCGAGAGAAGGACACCGCGGTGCAGGGCAACATTCGGCTCAGCTTCGAGGACTTCGTCACCATGACAGCTTCTCGGATGCTATGACCCAGCCTATCTGTAGACAGTGGAGCACATCAAGGGACCTTTCCTGGCTCCTTAGAGTGGGAGAAGCATGTGGGCCTCTCTTCTTTTCTTTCCCCTCCTAAAAAAATTCTCCCTAGCTTGATGCAGCACTGTTCCCAAAGAGGGTTGAGGATTCTGCATCAGAGCCACCAAATAATGGATCCCTGGACTGTGGCCATACAGGTAGGAAGGAGCCTGACCTAGGAGAGGACTGGAAATTGAGTGTCCTGACAGGCCTGAGCAATCGGCTGTGCCTCTGGCCCTTAGCTTCCCCCTCTGTGCACTGACACCAGTGTTAAGTGTTCTTCAGCCTCTTACCATTAGCATCTGCCTTCCCTCAGCGGCTGTCCTGTCAGATGAGCCCAGCTTCTCCAAAATGGAATTGACCAAGCTTGAGAGAGATTTGCCTGTGGGACCAGTGGCTTGGGCTCCTGCTCATTCACATCCTGAAGTCCTTGTGTGTTAACTTCTAACTGGGGGCTGTCCCTGCTCAGGGAGCTGGGACAGTCTGCCCTCTGGGTATCTCAGCCAGGCTACTGCCCTCCAAAGCTTGGAACCTTCAATTGCCTGCCATGCTCCACTCTGCTTTAGTTCCTGGAGGACAGATGTCACCTCCCACTGCCAATGCTGTTGTTTTTTTGTTTGTTTGTTTGTTTGTTTTTGTTTTTTAATGTGTGAGTTATCATATGGGGCCAAAAGTCCAGTGAAACTGTAAGCTTCAATAAAAGAATGAAATTCTGTAAAAAAAAAAAAAAGAAGAAGAAGAATATTTACAGGTGTGCAGCCATCACCATAATCAATTTTAGAACATTTTCATCTCTCCAAAATAAATCTTGTGTCTCTTAGCTGTCACTTCTTTCTTCTCCTCAGTCCCCCTCCCCAAACCCTAGGCAACCACTAATGTACTGCCTCTGTAAATTTCCTTAATCTTGACATTTTGGGGCTAGGGTTGTGGCTCGGCGATAGAGTGCTTGCCTACCATGTGCGGGGTGCTCAGTTCATTCCTCAGCGCCACATAAAAAATAAAGTTATTGTGTCAAACTATAACTAAAAACAAAATATTTAAAAAGATCTTGACATTTTGTATAAATGACACATATTGTGTTTGGCTTTAATTGGCTTTTTCCCCCCTTTGCTCTTTTTGGAAGGTGGTTGAGTGATCACTGACAAATTTGTGAAGGTGTATTTGGAACCACTTCTGAAGGGGACAAAAGTAACAGGAAAAACAAGAGGGAGATCTGTTTACCTTTTATCACTCTATTTTTGCTTTGAAAGTAACCATAAATGTAAATAGGATAGAAATGCTAAGTAAGCCAGGTGTGATGGTGTACACCTGTTATCCCAGTGGCTCTGGAGGTTGAGGCAGGAGGATCAAGAGTTCAAAGCCAGCCTCAGCAACTTAGTGAGGCCCTAAGCAACCCAGTGACACCTGTCCCTAAATAAAATATAAAAAGGGGGCTGGAGATGTGGCTCAGTGGTTAAGCACCCCTGGGTTCAGTCACCAGTACCACAAAGGAAGAAAAAAAGAAATCCTAAATAGATGAAAGTGGGAAGTACTCCAAATTAGTTTATATTTCTGTGGACAATTTTTAATTTTATTTTTATTGGGGTGCTGGGGATTGAACCCAGGGCCTTAGTGCAAGCAAGGCAAACATTCTACCAACTGAGCTATATATATCCCCAGCCCATCTGTTCGCGATTTTCTTTCCCTGTTTTTACATATTGCCTTCTGTTTGTTAACACTGTGTAAAGTCAATAATCACAAAATTGGAAAACCTGGGTTCTTTATATTGTGACTCAGCCACCATTCAAGTTTACTATTCTGCAAAATGAGGGGGTTACCATTATCCTCTCCAGCAGCATCTCCTGAGTTGCAGGCACAGTCTTTCAGGGATCTGTTGATATTTTACTTCAAGCTGCCAACCTAGACTTTACCTTTCTTTTCTAAAAGTTCAGTATACAGAAAGTGCAGGGGGCTGAGAAGATCTTAACTTCGTATAACATTTTAAACATTTACAAAAAAAAAAAAAAAAAAAAAAACTTTACACACGTTATCAAAACTGTTAGCTAGAAAGGGCCTCAGAGGACATCTAATCCAATCCCTTCGAAATAAGAAGAGGAAACAATCCCAGAAATAGGATGTGATTTGATCAAGGCCTCCCCCAAGTCAGTGCCAGAGCTGGGGTCAGTTCTAGGCTTCCCGTGCCTATGCATTTACATATGAGGAAGCCCAAGCCCCAACAAGCTTAAGGAATTCTATAAGAACGGGGCCGGGGCCTGTCAGCCCTGCGGGGCGCGGTGGCACACTAATCCCAGCGACTCCAGGAAGCCGGGCAGGAGGATCACAAATTCAAGACCAGCCTCAGCAATTTAGTGAGACGACGTCTCAAAATAAAAAATAAAAAGGTCTGCGGATGTGGCTCAGTGGTAAAACGCCCCTGGTTTCAATCCCCAATACCAAAAGAAGAAGGAAGGTGATGGGGGGAGTCCTGTCAAAAGGGTGGGATCCTTGGCGATCACCTAGAGTCCCATTCCTCCACTTTCAAATGGCTTAGACGAGGGTCCAAAATTTCTTGGAATTTCCTGGACCTAGATCCTCCGAGCTTGCAATGAGCCTGAATGAACGACCGGGAGGGGTCCCAAAGGCAGAGGGATCTTTCTTGGAGCCGGGCGGTGACAATTACTCCGGTCCCCAAGCTCCTCCTCTGGACCTAAAGCAGGGGAACCCCGCCTCCGCAGCCAACAGCAGGGAGAGCGGAGCGTGCCCGGGTTGGGGGCGTGGCCTTACAGCAAGCCAATCCCAGGCCGCATCATACTAGGTGGCCCCGCCCCTCCCCTTCAGCTCTTCGCGGGGGAAGCTGTGCGGTGACCCAGGCAACCGCCAAAACTAACCGCCCGCCTACTGCAATCAGCCGGTGTTGGCACCACCGTTCGTGAAGCCGAGGTCCTTTAAGGGACAAAAAGAATAAGGAATTTAACTGGTTAGTTGAGTAGCGTGAGTTTGGAACTGAGCAGAGGAAAAGGCTTACGCGGAATGAAAACTCGGTGTCTCTAAAGTACCTACTGTCCAAGGTACTGCAACAAGTTCTTGCTCTCTGGCCCCGGTCCCACTACCTGCTAATGTTAGTAGTGGTCTTTTTAGTAGTTAGTAGTGGTCTTATTGCAAGGGATAGGCGTTTGATTTTACATTTAACGTTTATTGAGCGCCTGCCTGTTGTGAGGTCCCAGGCTCAGTGAAGGAAACAGATTTCTGCAGTCTTGAAGGTTATATTCTAACAAAGGGAGGCGATGCATTATGTGGTGTGTTAGAAGGTGGTTACGAGGTTTGGGAGAGGAAAAAGTAGGGCAGTTCACATCATTAAATAGGAGGTCAGGTTAAACACCAGTGGGAAAGTGAGATCTGAAAGAACTGAAGGAGGCTAGGAGAAGAGCAGTCCAGGCAGAGAGAATAGTTGACATTATCAAAAAGAAAAGAGGGGCTGGAGAGAGGAAACAAGAAAGTGAAATAGAGTGCAGATTTCGCAAGGTCCTGTGTGTGTGGCAGTTACTCCGGAATGGGGAGCATTGCAGGATTTTGAGCAGAAGAATGACACCATCTGACTTATGTTTTAAAATAATTGCTCTGGCTGCTGTGTTTAGAACCAAATGAAAGAGAATATTGATAGAAGCAAGGAAACCTGCTAGAAGGTTATTACAATAGTGCATAGTACAGGGTGCAGGAGATGAATATTGCTTGGAACAGGTTAGTATGGAAAAGTGCTCAGATTTTTTTTTGGGGGGGGGTACTGTAAATTGAATTGAAGATCTCTTATGCATGAGAGCTCTACCACTGTGCTACCCGCCCCCGGCTATTTTAATTTTATTTTGAGACAGGGTCTTGCTAAGTTGCCAGTCACAAACTTGTGATCTGACCTAGCTCAGTGGCCCATGCCCATAATCCCAGCAGCTCAGGAGGCTGAGCCAGGAGGATGGAGAGTTCAAACAGCCTCAGCAATGGGAAGGCACTAAGCAACTCAGTGAGACTCTGTCTCAAAATACAAAATTGGGCTGGGATGTGGCTCAGTGATGGAGTCTCCCTGAGTTCAATCCCTGGTATCCCAAAAAGAAACAAAGCAAACAAAGGAAAAACTTGTGATCCTCCTGCCTCAGTTTCCTGAGTACCAGAATTACATGCATTCACCAAGTGCCTGGCCAAAAGTGGTTAGACTGAATGCATTTTGAAGGTAGAGATGATATCAAGAGAGGAATTAAGACTCTCTAAGCCAGATCTGGTGGCCTATTACTGTAGTCTCAGCTATTTGGGAGGCTGAGGCAGGAGAACTGATTGAGCCCTGATATTGGGCCACATATCAAGATCCCATCTCAAGGGGCTGCAGTTGTTTGTAGTTCAGTGGTAGAGTGCTTGCCTAGTATGTATGAGGCACTGAGTTTGATCCTCAGCACCACATAAAGATAAATAAATAAAATGAAGGTATTTTATTCATCTACAACTGAAAAAATAAAACAAAAAGAAAATCCCATCTCAAGAAAGTCCCTTTAAGGGGCTGGGGATATGGCTCAAGCGGTAGCGTGCTCGCCTGGCATGCGTGCGGCCCGGGTTCGATCCTCAGCACCACATACAAACAAAGATGTTGTGTCTACCGAAAACTAAAAAATAAATGTTAAAAATTCTCTCTCTCTCTTAAAAAAAAAAAAAAAAGAAAGTCCCTTTAAGGATTTAGCCTGAGCAATTAAAGGGGGACTTGACCTCGACTGAGGTAGAAAAGGCTAGGACCGGAGGAGCAGAATTGGAGACCCAGGAAAATAAGTATTTATAATATTTTACAAATTAGAATCTTTAGGTCAGAGAAGCATGGTTGTAACCAGAGCATGTAACCGAGTTTGCTAACTTAGATGAGGATCAAGAAGATGTTCTTCCACCCCATATGGATGATGGGGGGGTTGGGTACTGGAGATTGAACCCAGGATGCTTTACTACTGAGCTACATTTCCAGCCCTTTTTATTTTTTGAG